ATATATAATAAAATAGGATATAATTTATAGTCCCTACATTGATAGTTGTAAATTATTTGCAATTTTTATTGAAAACACAGTTATGGATTCGTATTCATAAGTTGTTATTCAGCTGTTTGGATCAATATTTCTTATATAAAATAAATACTATATTACCTTTTAACCTAATATATGTCATTTGCAAACTTGACCAGCTATCAAACGATGACCAACGCCAAACACATATGCGGACTAGCCGCGAGACATGAACACAAGTTTCCCTTCGCGCCCGTAAGACCACTGACTTTCAAGAACGTGTGGATAGCTTGGTGTAGTATCAGTAAATATACTCCAAAATGCAATCATTACATGGCCAGCACGGCTACAGTGACTGCCGAGAGACGGAGGCACGCTACTCTCAAACATTGGTGGATAATACACCCGTTCAGTTACGCCAGGTAAATTTCGAGTAAAAGAAAATATAATCGTAACATCTTGTACAAACGTTATTTATATCTTCCGATGGGCAGCTCAACGCTCTGAACGGGAAAATTCACAGATTCCTTTGGGATACATTCATGATGGTGATTTATTTGATCGCCTTCTTGACGATACCTTTTATGATTTGCTTCGTTGTAATGGACTACGAATCGATTCTCTTGGATAAAGTGAACGTTCCGATTTACGCGATTTGCTGGTTGGACATATCGTTCAATTGCATCACGGGATACTACGATAAGAGAGACACACGTATCGAGCTGAAACTTGGCAAGATATTTACGTGAGATTTCACATGCAATATCTCACTCGAATTTTCGCACGCTATTAATTTCTCAATTCTGACTTAATTTTGCTTCATTCTCAATTGCCCGACTCGACCTGATTTTCACTTCGTTAGATTAATATATCCACACGCATAACGCCAAATTAATTACCTCTGTAGGTCCTACCTGAAAGGATATTTTCTGCCGGATGTGTTGTCGTCTTTTCCGTACGATCACATAACGCTGCCATGGCGAAGACTGCCTGGAGATGATTCTTATCATATCGTTACCTTAATCAATATATTGCCCTTCATAAAGATAACGCGCTATTTGACACTAAAGACGAGCATGTTTTATTTATTTCAGGTAACGTGTCCTATTTCACGACTTTCCGCGAGAGTACGCAACGACTTCCTTACCGCGAACGCTTTTTCTGTTTCAGCACTTTGAGTTCAAACACTTTTACTATGAACTATACATTTCATTATTGCTGGGATGGTACCTGATTTTCTGGTTCTCCTGCCTCTGTTACTTGATACCGATTTTAATAATGATGCACTTCGCCAACATCTCGCCGATGGTGAGCAAGTCTACTGTGTCAAAATGTTCACACGCGAAAATGTTCACGTCTCAGCACCAAGCACGTTTCAAAAATTGCAATTTTAAGCATCATTAAACATCATTGTCCCTATGTGTGAAAAGGAGTGTACAAAATGCTGGATGACAGGCCTGGAGGAGCGCACTCTCACGTTCCGGCTCAAAAACGCCATACTGATCGTGCTGGAGAATATTCTGGCAACCGGTTATGGCCTCTTCGTACCTGAGACAGACGGTCATCTCATCTTGAGCAGTCTTGTCATGCTTATCGGCAGGCTTATGATGTGCTACTTCTTGAGTGAAGCATCGTAAAACATTTATTTACCTCCCAGACAGCACAATGGCCAAAATCGAGACATAAGATATCTTAGAAATGTCTTTAAAAGTTTAAAACTGTCCGGGCTGTCTCTCCAGAAACGCTACGTTTTTTTAATATTTTAGTATCGACATTTTCGCGGATAAAATCAAATGCGTCGTGTCTTCCCCCTCAGTTATATTCCTTCGGGTGAAGGCTAAGAAGACGCTGTCCGAAACGAAGTTTCAAGAGATCATGAACGAGGTGGAGGCGTACACTAGACAAAAGCAGTTGGTGCCGCACATGAAGAAGCGTCTCTTGGCCTACTACCATTATCGCTTTAAGAACAGTTACTTTCGCGAGAAGCAAATTTTGTCCAACCTGTCAGGTTAAGAAAATACATCGTGAAAATTTGCACACGCATGGATCTCCAGCGAGATAATCCCGATAACGAAATTTCGTTCCCCCAGAAACCTTGCGCGAAGAGATCGCGCTCGAGGCCTGCCGGCGATTAATCGAGAACGTAGCGATATTCAAGAATCTGCCCAAGCACATTCTGCAGTCGATAGTGAACAATTTGAAATTCGAGTTGTATCTGCCGAACGAGGTGATCATCAAAGCTGGCAGCCACGGTGATTGCATGTTCTTCTTGTCTTCCGGGAGCGTGGCGATCCTGACGCCAACTGGGAAGGAAGTACGTCCTCCCAAGTTTTAGACTCGATTTTTACGATTAATCTAATGAGCAAATTACGCAAAACGACAGATAGAATATATAAAATATTTAAGGTTCCTAGTCCCCTTTGCTACAGTAGTATTGTTTGGTGACATCGGAAGCGAGAAAACACGTGCTCAAAATTTTTGCGAGATATGTTGAAATAAAAGGTTTCATGTCCATAAAATGACATTTGTAATTGATTGAGATCACGTTTGTGAAGTATTCCGAAAACTTTTCTCTTGTTCTAACAATCGATAAACTACCGTAAAATTACTCACGTAATGTCTCGTTGATTTTTCACGTGATTTTTCACATTGATTTTACAGCCATTTATTGATTGTTGGCATAAAAAGATAGTTTTCAAAATATTTTACAAATATACTCTCAATCGATCACAAATCATAAATAATGGTCGAAGGTAATAAATTAATGAACGATGAATTAAACACAGTGGCACACGAATTGATATAGCATCGTAAAGATAAATTTCTATTCGTCACATCAAGATATGCCATTTGGACGACGGCGCATATTTCGGCGAGATCGCTCTCCTAGTGGCGGATGAGCGGAGAGTGGCCAGCGTCGTCGCGATCGACATCTGCGAGGTGTACCGGATCGACCGTAAGGATTTCCGCCAGTGCATAGCCATTCACAGCGATTTATTCGCGGAGATCGAGCGCATTGCCATCGAACGTGTGGACAAGGTTATTCGGGCCGAAAAACAGCACAAACGTTTCCTGATGCGTCCCAGTCATGTGCCGAACTCGCTTGGCAAGAAAATGAGCGTAAAGAAATACTAGGGGAAGTAAGGGGGACTAAGGAGAAGTTATATTTAACGTGATGACGCATCGTCAAATAGTATCTGTGTTTGTCGCGCGAATTTACTCATTCCCTCTTCCTCTCTTTCTATTTTCGAGTATTGATTTAAGCCAGAAGAAGTAAGCATAAAGACTCAATCGCTCCATTCTCTACAGCGCCGACAAGTAAAATCAATATCTTAAGTTTTAATTAGAAAGTATTATTATATTAGCAAGCGATTAAATGAAAGCAAAGTTTCTTCAGAAAGCGTCGTCTAGCTCCGTCAATATTCCGTCATCGCGTCGACGGAAAAAAGAATTGGCTCTCCACAACTAAAAACTAGCTCCCACAGATAAAAACTAGCTCCCGAAGCTAAAAATCAGCTGTCCCTGCAATACGACTGAAATTTAGTTAATTTAGCTAATTCTTTTTGTCCCTGTACCTAACTTTTAGCTGAACCACAGCTGAAAACTAGGCCTGGTAACTAAATTTCGGTTGTATTGTGTACGGACAGTTAATCCCCCTTTTCCGTGGAAATAACAATCCTGCTGATCGTGTAATCGTATATATATTTAAGGACCTTATATATTATTATTGTCCATACAATAATATCATATAGCGTCATTCATTTATATCTACTTTTATTTTAAAATTATATATATATGTATATATATATATATATTTATATATATGTATATATTATTCGTTACCTAAGGTACTTACAGTTACAATTACATTCGCTAAGACCGTACACGATGCAGCACTGTCGTGCGCGACGAGCTATACTTCTATTCGATATAACGCATGTGTGGGATATGAATCGCGATCTCTCCTTTTGTTTTCCTGCTGGTTTCGTTATTTTTTCGAGCAAGCTTCTCCCACCAAGAGCCCGACCGCGAGACCGTCGAGACCCGTGGTGCCGATCGTGATGAAGTGTCGCCCGATTCATCAGCGTCCGTGTCGGAAGCCAACACGCTGATCGACGCGAGGAAGGCGACGCGCGGACGTCGCCGACATTGTTGCGCGCGAGGTGAGCGTCCCAATTGCGACGAGATACCGCGGAATCGGAGAAGAACCGCGGTCCCGATCACGACGTTTCACCGAGCGATCGTGACGCGTGCCGCGAAGACGCACCACGCTCGGTGGTCATCAGCGTCGCGCTCTGCGGATATGCCGTTCTGTCCTGGGAAAGTGGATATGTGATTGGAAGAATGCGCGACGGTGACTCGACGACGGTGAAAATTATACGCACGTTTATACGCACACGCGTGAAACTCTGCCGTCGTCTTCTCGTATCGGGTTTTCTTTTCCTTTTTTTTTTATTTTTTTATTTTTTTTTTGAGAAGAGGGGAAGGGAGTTTTGCCTTCTTCTTCG